CATAACTCTTCATTTGAAATTAGTTCATTTGAAAACTATATAAACATCAAAGTAACTACTTTGACATTACATCATTTGAGTACATGTGTTGCAACTAATGCAAACACAATTAAAAAGACAAACATCAAAGATAACCCCACAAAATAATACATAAACCTAATTTTCATCTTCAACAAATCTTCATTTTTCTTGATGTCTTTAATCACATCCATGAGCTCCTCATTCATGTCTTTCAAAGATCTTATCACATCTTTAGCACGACTGTTCATGTCTTCATCAACCCACTGAAAGTAATTACATCCTTTTTTCTCGTCACCTTAAAATTACCACACCCATGAAATCTTCTTCCGGAATTATCGTATGTCCATGACGTCATCAACGGTGACTCAAGCTCACACCAATATTTATTACCTCTTCTTCTTATACCAGACCCAGACTGGTTTGTTGAGGAAAAAGAAAAATTTGTTTCGGACATGTTGGTAAATAGGAGGCACGCTGGGTTCCAAATTAATGGCTACAGAAGGGTTGGTATGGGTTTGTTGAGGAAATGAGGACTGGGTTTGAAGAAATGGCTATAAAGATGGTTGAAGAAATGACTATAGGGGTTGATGAATGGTTGAAGAAATGAGTTTGTTAAAATGGGTTGAAGACGAAAGAGTTGGGGTTTTTTATTTAAGTTTTATTTTATTAATTTTCTGAAAATGAAATAATATTTAAGTTAATGATATGGAAATTATATTAAAATTAAAAAGACCATTTTAAATGACATGGAATGTCACATCATCATTCAACGCGTCACCTCATTAAAAACATGACTTAAAATGACAAGGGGACTAATATCAATCTTGAAACCTAAAAAAGAGATCAAAATCGTGATTTTTAAAATTGGGGGATCAAAACTCAAAAAACATAAAATAGAAAGAACAAAGTTGCAATTAAGCCTTATAATTGTAATTATAATTATAATTATAATTATTATTATTATTATTATTATTATTATTATTATTATTATTATTATTATTTGAATAGTCAACATTGTTTCATTGGTATTAATAAATGCACTGTGTTCTCAACAACGACCAATTTTTTTTAGTGAAAGCAGACAAAAGAAGAGATTGATAATTATGCCAAGGATTTGATGCAACTTTAAATGATTTGCATACTCATATCTCTATGCTTGAAATGATGCTACATTCCACATTAGTCAATAAAAATAATAGATCGTGATAATATTTTCTTTATTGAAACATTATCTTAATTCACACTCTTTTGTTCCCCCTAAAACTACACTTTCTGTTGTTAAATTATAGTCTCCATTTACTTATAATAAAATGTAGTTCAATAAAAAAAAAAGTTTTTAAAAGTTTTTAAGAAAACGTTTCATTCCAGCTTGAACTAGTTTTTGAGTTGTGAAATTTACTCGATTATATTGCTGAATTTTGGAGCATGATAGAAAGATTAAAATGAGCAACATGTTAGCTATTAAGATTCATATAGATTTTGAAGTAGATGTTCAAAACATTTTTTATTTTGAATAAAGTAGAATAATTGAAATGTCATTGGTACAATAAATTTAACCGTTATTTAAAATAATTAAAAGGTGTAAATTTGTCATATTTATCGTGAGTTGGATATTTGTGTAGATACATTTATTAATATTGAATTTGATATAAATTTTAATTTGATGTTTATCAGCAAATTTGTGCTCAAATTTCACTATTTTTTTAAACTAATTATATTGGAATTTTTACTCATAAATTAATTTTATCGTGTAACTTTTTTTTTCTTTTGACTACAACGCTCTTTTCTTCTTAAAAAATAATTATTTTATTATTCTTCAATTATGAAAAAATATTATGGTTAAAATGTAGTTCAGTTATTATTTTTTATTTTTTAATTTTATTATTTTAAAAATAAAATATTTAATCTATTTATTTTAATATTTTTAAGATTTTATTCTCATTAGTTTTTATGATAGGCAGATTAATTGATGATATGATAAAGTCTATGTAATATTTTATATAATATTCATATTTATTTAAAATTATTATTTATTCTTGTAATAATACAAATTATTATATTTAGAAACTTTATATTTAAATCTGGGTAATTCGGGTAAGGCTCAAAGAGAGATAGAATATAAAAGGGATGTATGCCAGATTCTTATTCTTTTCGAAGAATTATATTTATCACTTAAATGTTGTTGTGGATGTTGCGGGTGATGAGGTGTATATTTTCTATATGTGCATTAAGGACATATTTCTTGAACTTGATATTTTTGTAGATAAAAGTGCGACATATGTCAACGTCTACATTAAATGCTTCAGGTAATTTTTGCTGAAGGTAGATTATAAAAGACGAGACAGATGATTGGAAACAACTATCTATTTCAGGTAATTTTTTTGAATAACTAATCTAATGCCTCGAATTCACCTCTTTTTTTAAAGATGAACAAGTAGGATGTTGCGGGTTCGAACTCGCGCTCTCACACCTAATGTCCCTACACATCTACCAACTGAGCTCTCTTAATGGGACTATTTCAGAGAATTTATTTACGCCCTTACTGATGTTATTTTCATAATACTTGTGCTACACACTTATTGATATTTCATTTGAACCATTTTCAAGCATAAATCCTTTGATATTTTCTAGGTATCGTCAATTGGGAGTGTGTTGACGACTACAATGAGGATTTTCCATGTGTGTGTCAGATCATCCCACTCAAGGATAATCTGGCGACTGAGTCGTACAGGCTTGCCCTTGACTGCATCCTAGTAGATGATATATGGTTCACATCATCCAATGAACACCTTCACACACGTCTATCGGAGGCAATATCCTAGTACTCTAGTTGGTTGGCTTGTGAGTCTCAAATTAAGTACTTGCATCTACCTGAGTGTGTATTGCGACAATTTGGATATCTGCAGAGTATACCTAGAGATCTCATAGTTGTTACTCCTACCACTATCCTCTGTAGAGATGTTGATGTGATATTTGCAGACTATCATGAGTCTTGGTGGCAGAGGAAGTATGTAGTCATGTAGTGTGTCAATTCCTCGTCTATGGAGTATTGTATAGAGTTACTCCAACGGTTTTATAGTGTCTAATCCTTACATGACACCGGAGGCAGAAAAAGATCCCCTTAGGTCAGCTCATCAGGAGTTAATGAAATAGGAATAGGTGATGGAATACCATGTCATGGATGAATTGTCGATATGTCACCGAATTGGCGCTATTCGAAGACATGTTATAGCTAGAGAAAAGTTTCAAAAAGACACTCTTGAGATGGTCACTCTACAAAAAATTTTAGCAGAGACACAACATACATTGTAGCATAGGAGGCAGAGAAGAAACAAAGGTGTTACATATACCCCATATTAGTTGTATTTTTATTTGTATTTTGTAAACAATTTGAAATTTTGTATGATTAGTTATATTTTATGAATGACTGATGTATGGTTTTTGAATAAGTTTATGAAATTTTGATTTAAATTATGCCCAACTTATGGGAATAATTTATTGCGTGAATAATGAATGCCCTGTTAAATGATATGAAATTTTTTTCTAAAGTATTGTTAATGGGTTCATAACATTGTCCAGAAGTGTGTATGGATTTGGAAATCCGAATCCACCTCATTGCTCCGAAAAATAGACCCAAGCAATGTTTAAAATACTATCCAGGGATGTGTCAGGATCTTGAAATTCATATTGACTCGTATGTTTAACACACACAAGCAAAACATACAAATAATATTGTTCTAGGGGTGAGTACGGAGATTAAAATCCGTACTAAATTTTTTACTTAGATGTGAATACCTTTCTGATGAAAAGAATTGTTGTATAATTGGTGTATCTGAACTTCAAAAATCGAATGATATGAAGGGTGTATTTGGGTTTTCGTAAAGTTAGTGTGAGTAATGGGTTGTAGTGAACACTTATTTTGTAGGTTTTGATATATAATTACTTTTTGAGTTTAAATGATATTAGTCATAAGTTAGTCCCATATAAACATTCTCTTACTATGAATTTGTGGGAGGTTAATATAGTAAGAGTTAGTTGGTTAATTAGAATTTGTTATAAATTTGGTAAGTTTATTAATACCTGACAAACTCTATACACAGAGTATCTCATGTAATCATCTACCCTATCTTTTTCAACATAATTAAATGTGAATTCTAAGGATTTTTTTTTGAGTTTAATGGTTATGCATTTTATCATTCAATAATAATTAATCACTCAATCCGATCACACTGATAATTTAAAATTATCATCTGATTTAATAGAATACATAATTACGAATACATAATTGTGTTTGATTGACAATATAAAATTTTACACTGTCAATCTTGTTTTCTCTTTCCCATTGTATACGAGTTCTCACACTTACTTGAAGTTACTTTAATCTTAATCTCTTTAATCACGTACTTCATAATAGTATCCAAACAATAACCTTAGGTAGCAATCGTTATTATCGTATAAGCCTACATGTGAATCAATCAGAACCTCGGAGCCTATCAATCAAATGATAACGCAAATGATTGATTAATTTGGCTTTCTTCTGACACAAACCCAATTTTTTTCATGATGTATTTCTAGTTGCAACCTTTTAGTAATACAGACTAATTAGAGGTTCACGAGAACTAAGGGGGTGGGATAGAGTTGAGCTGAAGTAATCTGGTTGTCCAGTCCAGTGCCATACCCCTGTTACTATACTCAAATTTGCAACAATAACCACCACAGGAGGCAAAATCGACATCGGCAATGACAAGAATGGCTACAGGTACGGAGAGAACGATATTCCAAAAACCAACAAGGACAAGCGATAACAATAACATGAGAGTTTACGAGAACAATGACAATGATGGGCAAAGAAGGCGACAAAGGATGAGCGACAATGAACAACAAAGAGATATTATAGAAAATATTTCTGAATTTAAATTTTACAAGGCAGTGAAACTCACATTCCAGCCGAATGATTGAGCAGCAAAACCACTGTTATGTCAGCATTCACTAGGGAGTACATTGAAGAAATGATAAACCTCATCTTCATCAAAAACACCTACTTCTGTTGAACAAACAGCGCAGCAGACTTGTTTTATTTTCTCATTACTAGATGACATCGCATTGCTCCCACCAAATTCTTTGTCCCTTCTATTTCTTTTTCTTGATTTTGAGCTACTTTGACTCGTTACTTGTTTATCCTCAATCTTACAGTTTGTAACAAATATTGCTCTATACTGGGTCAAATATTTCTCGTGCCTGTAAATCACAAGTGAAGTCACAACCCAGACTTGAACAGAACAGATGGATTTATGGAATCAGAAAACTTGAACAACAAGCCATTAATTAGTTATGTAGCATTTTGTACGCAAAGTGAATTGAACAACATATTTTTGTTCATTTTTTACTAAAAAATGGAAACGAACAAGCAGTTTTGTTCAGTTCTCTTTTCATTCCACCTTCGGTTATTAAGAGACAGACGAAGATAACATCAAAATATTATAAGTTATTTTCATATACTCTAATAACATGCACAGGCAACTTACTACCGACCAAAAATAAAAGCATTGGATTATTCAATAACATTGTAATCTACCAATTTAGAATTCGTACACAAAATTCAAATATTAATTAGTGTGTAATAGACATAAACATCTAATAAAAAAAATTCCCGTGACTCATGAGAACAGTTAATAATGACCATAAAACCATATATGAATGGTAAAGATTTTCAGTCCTCGTGTTTCCATGTTTGCGCTTAATATGCCCCCTCCTTATAATATGTGTGTATGAATGCATGCAAAATGACACAAATTACATAAATTAGTTTGCAAGTAGGCATGGCAACAGAGCATGTCGGGGATGGTTTTTACCTCCCCATACTCAAACTCGAATCCCAGAACAATCTCTGTTTCCCAACAGGAATGAAGAATTAAACCTCTAATCTGTCCCAAACGGATTTGTGTTGGGTTCAGATATTCCATACCTATTTGCAAGTATAAATAAGGGTATACCTTTGACATTCTAGGCAGAGTGTGGTGAAGCAAGCAGGGCAGCAAAGCACCGCATCAGATTCATGACCATGTCTTTTTTTATGAATCCAGTTTTCATCCTTTTCATCAAGTTCAGGATCATAAAACTCTGGTTTCGTTGAGTAGTCAATCTCGTCATCATCAGAAACTATGATATTCATATCAAAAACATAAATTAGACGGTTAGGGCAATACACAAGGCTATCTTTAAGAGCATGCAAACTACCGCACAAGGCCTAAAGTTTGACTCGTTTAAATCGTGGCTAAAAACGACCTCATAAAATAGTTGTCATTGTTAAACCACGACAAAATAGAGCCCCTATTTGATTTGCCACATTCAACTGTAGTTAACCGAATCTCCGAAAACTTAAGACGTCTCGCAACACAATGTCAAACATTACGTATGCTGCTTGGAAAACACTCTAAAAGACATGACTCCTCTCTCCTCTCTCAAAACCCTAGATTTCCCTTTACTCCAAACTCAAATACACTTAACAAATTTCTAACCACTAACATTTACCTATAAAAAAGATGCAATATTATTGACAGGTAATTTGAAATTAAGAGAAGCATAACAACAATTTCACTATTAAAAAAGTGAAGTCAATAATTACCGGTTTGTGGTGAATTGGTGGGTGATTTGGCATCATCTCCTTGTTCCATTTCTGGGAAACCAGAGAACAGAAACGAATCAAAGATGGGAGTGAAGCCTTTGAAGCCCGCAACAGTATAGGCTGCACAACTATTGGGCCTGCCTTTCGCTAAACAAATTTCAACTTTTAGAACTATCATTACCGCATTATTAATAAATAATATTTTTATAAATTTATTCATATTTTTTAGTGAAAAAAAAAAATATGGAAGTTTTACCCCATACCCCTACACTTATACTTATACTCCTACATTAAAAAATTTTGGACCAAATTATCCTCGTATAAAAATTTATTATTTTTTAATTTTTTTTATATTTTTTTTATTTGTTTACCAGAAGACTTTTTTGGAAGTCTTCCGGTTCACATTTTTTTTAGTATGTTTACCGGAAGACTTTTTGGAAGTCTTCCGGTACATATTTTTTTCAATCGGAAGACTTTTTGGAAGTCTTCCGGTTCATGTTTTTTTTTTAATTTGTAATTAATATTTAAGATTTATTAATTTTATATAAAGACCAATTTAGTAAATTTCTGAATATTATACTTAAAATATAAAAATTCTATAAATAGAGAATCATTTTCAGAATATTTTCTATTTACTATAATTATTAGAATATTAGAATTAAAATCATTTATTTTAAATGATTATAATAGTAGAATTTTCTCAAATATCTTATTAATCTTAAACGTTAATAAATAAAATAAATTTAAATATAAGATATAAGTTTACATTATTCAATATATTTAATCAAATGAAAACATATGTGATAAATAAATAATGTATTTTAACTTAAAATGATCACAATAAGTTAACTTGCAAAATAATATAAGTAATAAATTAATAATGTATTTTATTTAAAATAATCACAATAATAAAATACGCAAATAATGTGTTTTATTTATAGGACTGATATAGTTTTATTGATTATTTAATTTTGAATACTACTATGAATATAGTATTTAATCTATACTTTAGAACTCACATAATTATAAATATAAAAAATATTGTTTTATTACCCATATTTTTATTTAATTAAAAAAAATAAGAATATAAATTTATTATTTGTTTTTCATTTTTGTTTGATCTTTTTAATTATTTCACTTTATTTAATATTTTTAATAAAATAAATAATATATTTTATTTAAAGTAAGCACAGTATAGAATATGCAAAAAATTTATAAATAAAAAAAAGTATTAAATATATTTTTTTATTTATAAAATTTTTAATTAAAAACTTTTTATTTTTATTTATTTAAAAATATATTTTATTTAAAGTAAATAATATATTATTTATTTACTTTATATAAAAAGTAAATAATATATTTTTATTTAAGAATATATTATTTATTTAAATAAAAAAAAGATCAAACAAAAATTTTTATTTAAAAATATAAAAAGTTTTTATTTATTTATAAATTTTTTGCATATTCTATACTGTGCTTACTTTAAATAAAATATATTATTTATTTTATTAAAAATATTAAATAAAGTGAAATAATTAAAAAGATCAAACAAAAATGAAAAACAAATAATAAATTTATATTCTTATTTTTTTTAATTAAATAAAAATATGGGTAATAAAACAATATTTTTTATATTTATAATTATGTGAGTTCTAAAGTATAGATTAAATACTATATTCATAGTAGTATTCAAAATTAAATAATCAATAAAACTATATCAGTCCTATAAATAAAACACATTATTTGCGTGTTTTATTATTGTGATTATTTTAAATAAAATAAATTATTAATTTATTACTTATATTATTTTGCAAGTTAACTTATTGTGATCATTTTAAGTTAAAATACATTATTTATTTATCACATATGTTTTCATTTGATTAAATATATTGAATAATGTAAACTTATATCTTATATTTAAATTTATTTTATTTATTAACGTTTAAGATTAATAAGATATTTGAGAAAATTCTACTATTATAATCATTTAAAATAAATGATTTTAATTCTAATATTCTAATAATTATAGTAAATAGAAAATATTTTGAAAATGATTCTCTATTTATAGAATTTTTATATTTTAAGTATAATATTCAAAAATTTACTAAATTGGTCTTTATATAAAATTAATAAATCTTAAATATTAATTACAAATTAAAAAAAAAAACATGAACTGGAAGACTTCCAAAAAGTCTTCCGATTGAAAAAAATATGTACCGGAAGACTTCCAAAAAGTCTTCTGGTAAACATACTTAAAAAATGTGAACCGGAAGACTTTCAAAAAGTCTTTTGGTAAACAAATAAAAAAATATTAAAAAAATTAAAAAATAATAAATTTTTATACGAGGATAATTTGGTCCAAAATTTTTTAATGTAGGGGTATAAGTATAAGTGTAGGGGTATGGGGTAAAACTTCCAATATATATATATATATATATATATATATATATATATATATATATATATATATATATATATATATATATATATATATATATATATATATATATATATATATATATATATATATATATATATATATATATATATATATATATATATATATATATACTTTTCAATGAAAAATATGTATTCTGTTAAATTATGATTTCAGTTTTAAAATATTAATATGATTAGACTAAATAATATAATATAGTTTTATTGAATAATAATGTAAAATTATTTTAAATTAATAATTTATTTATTTTTATTTATTTTTTATATAAACTAATTACGTCATTTGAGAATTATAATATCTAAATAATTTATAGTCTAGAATAAATGAAATAAATAACTATAGAGATTAAAGGTATGTATTGTTGTGTAAAATAGTCTTATTATTTAATTAAATTTTAAATTTTAATTATATTATGTCAATATTTTAAAATAAAAAATGTGACTTATCAAGATATACAATTAATAATATTTTAGACTATACATTCTTTTTATCATAATTATATAAAAGAAATATAAATATATTTATTAGTTAGTTAGTATAGAAAGTTCTAAAATAACATCTTAAAAAGGAATTCGATAATCAATTTTCAATTTTAACAATTAATCAAAGAGAGAACAACTGCCTAGTTTATGAGAGAAAAAGCAATCTCTCTTATCTAAATAATTTATTTTATTCAAAACTTTGTTCTTTATCCCATTGAAGATGCATGGTGCTGAAGTTCTCTCTTTCAACAAAACAAATACAATTCTATATTTTATAAATTAAAATAATCTAATTTCATTATTCTCAAATTAATCAATATACAACTCTCTATATTTTGTATTCACTTTGGGGACTTACAAAATTAGATCTATTCGTATGAGTTTTAAAATAAATAAATATTCAATGTGATTTATTTTTATGATTCAGATTTTAAAAAGAAAAACTCATTTCATCGATTTAAAAGGTTTATTGTTTGTCTTAGGTGAATGGAGGATTTGACTTTTGACAAGCATATGTTTTAATTAAGTCCTTTTTGATAAAAATGATTTAGAATTTATTCAATAATCGTAATGGTCATTTCTGCAATGTTCTTTTAAAAAATATGAATGTAATAACAATCTCATTTTTGGTGTTAATGTTGACGCGGGTGTTTATTTTATTGATTCGGACAAATTTGAATTAAATTTGAATTTAAATCAAACTATGATGTTTGAGTCGGTATTTTCTTAGTTCGATTAAAAGGCGAATCAAATCGATGAAATCCAATATTAATTGATTCAGACAACCGAGTTTCAAAACTCTATGTGTAATCTTGTCTATCTGAACCAACCATAATTACTATGTATAAATTATATTATCATTATCATGAAAATTAGTATAAGGTATTCAACTTCAAGAGAAAAATGAAACATCATTTGTTACACTCACAACCTATATAAAAAAATGAAACATCATTATAGAAAATTAGTTGATATTGTGAGATCATTGGATCGAACTCTAGTTCTGTCGACTGGGATGTTGTCGACAGGAATATCTTTCAGGTTTCGACAGAGGACAAGTATGAAGTCAAAGATGGTTCACATGTTGATGTCTAAGTGTTACATATTGTATTCGAAGTCAGTTCTAATATGTATTGTCGAAATTGTTATGTCGAATTGGGTCTTGTGGTCAAGGATTCAATTGTTTAGTTAGCTTGTAATGTAAGTTAGCTAGTTAGTTTATAAATAGGCTAGATCTCTCAAGTTGTTGAGAGAGACAAATTGTGTTTGTAATCATTTGTAAACCCTAAATGAGAAAGTGAATAGAAGACAGTTGCCCAAAATTCTATTCTCCTTCCTTCTTCTTTATTCTTTATTCTCTCTTTGTTATAACCGTTTCACTGTTCACTCAAGAAACTCTGTTTCTCAATCAAGAATTTGTTAATCGGTTTTGTTTGTTACAACAGATGTGAATTAGATATTTTTAAAATTATTTTTACACATTTGTTTCTAATGTATCCAATCAATTCAACCTTTATTAGTCAAAAACTACATGTGTGCATGTGCCCTCTATAAGAGTAAGAGCAGAGAGACTCAGAAGTCTTAGTATATTTATAACAATTGTGTGGTTAGGTTTGGTATGTGGCTGCGAGAAGACATGTGTAGTGGTGTTTTGAGGTAGTTTATGAGACCTATTCACCTGAGGTGAGAGACTCTACCTATGATCGGTACGATTATCGACGGCCGTGTATTAAAGTTATAGCGAGTGATGTACTATTTTCATTGTAGAGAATGTGTATTATTTAAATTTTATCTCTTCTCTTTGGGGGAGATGTATTTACAGAGGTCTCTAGAACCTATGGTTTCTTCGGAAATGGTCACCGTCCATGTGGTATTTGGATTGAACTCTAGTGGCGACAAGCATGGCTTCATGGTTCGACAGGAGTTGTGTATGTTGTAGTCGAAGTCTGATCAAGCATAATGTTGAAATATATTAACGTGTAATTTAAGTTAGTATGTCGAATTGGGTCTTACTTTTAATTTCAATTGTTAAGTTAGCGTGTATCCTAAGTTAGCTTAATAGTCTATGAATATACTAGTTCTCTCAGGTTGTTGAGGGAGGTTAATTGT